AGCAGACACTACTCAAAATAAGAGTCCTGGCAGACAAGCATTAAAGGGAGAAATCCCTTACCAGCTCTAAGCTGAGTGTCTCCAAGGGTTTTTTGCAGTAGTTGATCAAAGAACGTTACACAAACTACAGGGAAGACTGCACTTGGGGCAAATGTGTGGGTGGTTTTTATTCATTTGTTTGGGAGCAAACATTAGACAGCTCTGACAGAAGTACCATGGTGGCTTTTATAAAGGGCCAGGAAGTACCTGTTAGTGTAAGTCGCACATTCCTGGTTGAGCTTTAAACTCTCACTGTACTTCTCAACTGCTTTTTTATGGTTTCCTTTCTTTACAAGTTCATTTCCTTCTTCCTTCAGAGTTCGAGCTCTCTCCGTGCCAGCAGCAGTCTGGTCTGGAAACAGCGTGAAAGAATACAGAACGCTATAAAACTGACAAGATCAGCACAGCCTCTCAGAAAGCAAATATCCCCATACCAGAGGTGAGACACAGAGACATCAAAGGATCCAGAATCAACCAAAAAAGCTGTGGCAGAACCAGGCCCAGGTTTCCCCAGGCCTCAGCCCCAGCTGCAGACCTGCCAAGCAGGCGTGGCAGCTGCCTTGTTCATCACCCTTCTGAGGCACAGGGCTCTGTGCCCGGCCCAAGGGCACGCTCTCACCTGGTCCTCCCCCCGGTGCAGTCGCAGGAGGAGTATTTGCCCCGGGGGCTCCGGCAGAAGGAATGCTCCACCTCGTCTGGGCAGAAACAGGGACTGTGGGGATTGGTGGGAGCTTCTGGCGCCAGTTCACACCATCCTTCTCCAGCAGGGCTTTAGTCATCCTGGAAGAGACAGCTGGCAGTCACCCCGTCTGATGGCTGGACGGGCCATGCAGTAGCCAGTAGGGTCACTTTTTAACCTGGCTCATGTATCGAGGACAGCATCTCTCCACTAACCCCTTTACATGCATCTAAACTAAGTTCCTTCTACAGGCAGGACATTAATGAAAGGAGCTTCTTCATGTCAGCAGGGCTAAAAACACCACAGGACGAGGGCTGGAGCGGTCAGCGCTCAGCCGAGCGAGAGGTGTGCATGTCGCTCCTCAGCCTGGCAAGCGATGAAGTGAAGCAGACGGCTCCAGGAAGAGAAAAGGACTACGGCAGCCTGTAAACCCAGTCAGCATAGGGAGGCTTAACGGATAGGGCACCGGAGCCTGTAGTTTATTATTTGTTTTAAAATAGGCACTGAGCAGAGCAGAAACAGTCCCAGGGAATTCATTCCCAGCCCTCAACCAGCACCTTGAAAGGAACTAAGGGTGCTAGCAGACGAAGGCAGCGCGGCCAGGCCTGCGCCCTGCGCGACGCATCGGAGCCCTCGGTTGCTTCATCCGTGTGCTCGGGACCCAGCTCGCTCCTGACACGGCTGCAGAAACAAGGCGAGGCTCGCGGGAGCGGCTAACCAAGCTGCTGTATTCCCAAGCCTCCGGGTATTACCCGCCGAGAGGACCGTGTAGCGTTACCTGTTGACGCCGTCGTGTGCCGCCTGTACGGAGCAGTCCACCTGCAGTGCGGTCCTGTAGTCCACGTAGGCCAGCTGGTACCTCTCCAGGGCCTCGTAGGCCGCGGCCCGCCGGAGGAGGGGTTTGATCCCAAAAGGGACCAGGTCGAGGGCGCTGCGACAGAGGGGAGAGAGCCGTCCGGGGCGGCTGGGAGGGCGG